TGTTAATATTTCCCCCGTAAAATTTTTATTAATCTCTACAAAAAACAAAAAAAAATGATTATTATTTATTTAGTATATGGAATAAATACAAATAAAAAAAGCAATAAATAATAAAAAATACAAAGAGGTTCAATATTATGTCAATTTTTTCATGGATTGAAGACGAAAAAAATTTAAAGTTACTTAACGCACCTAAATCCGGCCACCGCCCGGGAGATTTAAGCTTATGGATTCGGTGTGAAAACTGTGGAGTCATTTTATATATTAAACATTTACAACAAAATAAGCGAGTTTGTTTTGGATGTAATTACCATTTACAAATGAACAGCATCGAGCGTATTGAGCGTTTTATTGATGCAGGTACTTGGAGGCCAATTAATGAAACACTATCGTCTTGTGACCCTTTAAAATTTAAAGATCAAAAAAAATATAGTGAAAGATTAAAAGAATCGCAAGAACAAACAGGATTACAGGATGCTATACAAACAGGAACTGGCTTTATAGAAGGGATTCCCATTGCTGTTGGAATTATGGATTTTACTTTTATGGGTGGAAGTATGGGTTCTGTTGTTGGAGAAAAAATTACTCGCTTAATAGAATATGCAACAGCACAAGGACTTACTTTAATAATATTTTGCGCGTCTGGTGGTGCCCGTATGCAAGAAGGCATCTTAAGTTTAATGCAAATGGCGAAAATATCTGCTGCGTTAAATGCTCACCAAAATACTGCAAAACTTCTTTATATTCCAATATTAACTTCACCAACCACTGGTGGTGTTACAGCGAGTTTTGCGATGTTAGGTGATTTAATTTTTGCAGAACCAAGAGCCCTTATTGGGTTTGCCGGCCGTAGAGTTATTGAACAAACACTTCAAGAGCAATTACCAAAAGATTTTCAAACAGCAGAATATTTATTACATCACGGTTTAATAGATCTTATAGTTTCAAGGTTTTTTATAAAACAAGCAATTGCTGAAACAATTATTTTATATCAACAAGCTCCAACAAAAGAATTAGGGCTTCTTGCTTTTAAAGAGCGTCATCGTTTAACAATTTCTCAAGAAGAGCAATTACGACGTTTAGTAGAGAATTCATCCAACTTAAATTTTAGTGGTTTAATGAAATCGTTTTTTCATTTAGTTACTGGTAAAAAAGAAGAAAAAACAGGATTATTAAAATTAAAACCTTTGCCGTTTAGTAAAGCTTTTAAAAAAGTTCCTAAAGTTAATAAGTATAAACGTGTTAAATTTTTAATTCCGAAAACTCCTAAATCTGATATAATTGATGTGTAATACATATTTTAATTTATACCAAAAGTATTATTATTTTTTTGAGCTTTTTATTTTCTAAGTACTTGATTTTTTTGTTGTTATGGAGTATTTTACATAACAACAAAAAAATCTATGAACTATTCGTATTGTATAAACATAATAATATATTATTATTATTGTATTAATTGTATTAATATTATTATGTTTATTAAATTCATCAAAGTCTAAAATGCTTCTATGAACTTTATGGTTCAATATCAATTCAATAATATTTAAGCCTCTTACCGGATTTGAACCGATGACTTTCTACTTACCATGCAGATACTCTACCAACTGAGTTAAAAAGGCATTTTATTTAGAATAAAGTTACTTATTAAATTTCTAAGAAAGGTTGCTTTTACTTTTTTTAGTATATAAATATAATATTAAATAAATTTAGTATTATATATCATTTAGATAAAAACAAATTATAATAAATTATTAACAAAAAAATTTTTATGTACACAAATATTAATATAATAATTGATATTTTATTTTATTACAAACCTAAATATAACAGTTGAATTTATGGATAAAAAACAATGGGAACGTTTTGAAAATATAATTAAAACGCGTTTTTCGCCTGAACAAATCTTAAGATTAAATCGAATATCATTAAAAAAATATTTGATTGCAAAAAATGAGGCTGAGATGAAAAGAATTTGGGAATTCCGTTTATCTCTTCTTAATTCATCGAAATATAGCATTCAAACTTCTCAATCTTTTCAAAATTATAAAGTATTATTATTATTGAAAAATTATACCAAACACGTTGGAGTATTGTGTCTTTATTATTTTACACCAGGTTGGTACATATTAGGTTTTATTCGAACAATAAAAGCTAAAAATCTTAGGATTTTAACAACAATAAAGTGGGAATTATATGTCTATAATCATAGACTTACAATGAACAGAAAACTCAGATCAATTGAAGTGGATCAGGGGCTTATTCTCAGTTTATTTCCGTTTACGTTTTCAGCTATACAATATATTGTTGTTCGATTTAAGCCACACCTTCATCCTAATGTTTTAGAGCACACGTTACCTATTTTTAGTTATCCTATACAAACTATAAAATGGGAAACATTAATGTTATCAGATGATGCTCAAGAAATATTAGTCAAAGAGCAAAATAAAATGGGGGTTTTCGATGAGTATCTTTTAATTCACCGAAAAAACAAGTTAAAATTATTTGGAAATACTCGCTGGTTGGATTATATATTAGTACCAGAAGTTGAGGCAAATAAAAGTATACAAGAAGCATTTTTAGATTTAGATAATCTCCCCAAAAAGTTAGCTAGTGCAAAAGAAGTGACTTATGAGTACCCGAATATTAAAAATTATATTCAATTTTTAGATTCGGAGGTTCCGCTATCATATAAACAAAGCGCGATTAATAAACGTGAGTTATACCAAACTCGAGTAAATTTTAATTACTTGGTTCGGGCATATTATCGAAATTTTTTATATGGTGTGAACGAAGACTTAATCAGCCTCTTTAATAAATTACAAAAAAAAGCTCAAAAGGTAAAAACACGGCGCGGGCCATCAAAAAAATATAGCACCGGTATAAAAAAAGTGAGTTCTGTTCGAGAATTTGCTAGTATAGCTGATTTAGAAAAATTTGAAAATAGATTTAAATTTACTGAAGATGTTGAAGTAGCTAATTTAGATAAAACTAAATCTATTAAATCCCTTGAAACAGATTTGCAGGTTGATGAATTAAATGAGGAATTAGATTTTGAGGATGATTATTTGAATGATGAGTATGAGGATTTATTTGAAGAGAATTTTAGTCTACAATCAAATGAGTATTATCAAAATCATTTTTTTAAAGAAGACAATTCTGAAGATAATTCTAGCAATGAAGGTCTTTCTACAGTAAAAAAAAGTGTTGAAAAAAATACTCAAGATAAAGTTAACGAAAATACAAAAAGTGTTAAAAACAAAAATACTAAGAAAGATTTTTATACACTTTATGCCGAACTTGGGGAATTATTGTCAGAAATTTCAATTGAAGAGACAAATATAGATATTGAAAATAGTAGTACTACTAATACCAATATTGATGAAACTTCTTTAAATGACCAAAATATTTTATTACCTGAATTACGGGGTGCAGGTAATAAAAAAAAAGGCGGTAAAATAAAAGGATTAAGCGAGAAAGAGGCTGCTGAAGTAATTTCAACTCTTAATACTTTTTATCGGGAAGATAAAAATTTATTTAGAAATTGTGAATTTGAAGATCATGGTTTTTCTATACCAATAACACCACGTAAAATGTCAGGTTATGTTTACCCGGATACACCTACAAACGAATTAATCTTATTACGTCTAAGAGAATTTTTATTAAAAAATGAAACAAAAACAACTCTTAGAGTTGATCTCCCTCCTAATTTTGTTTTTATTAAAACGTACCCAGTAAAATACCCAGATGCTCCAAATCCTAAAAACCTTCTCGTTGCTACAGCAGCTATGGATCTAACACCAGAGCAACTAAAAGCGTATAAAGAACGTCAAAAAGAACGCCAAAAAGAGCAACAAAAGGGTGGTGATCAGGATGATCTTAGTTTAATTAATCAATTAGACACTAAATTTTATGTAGATCTTGATCCGGAGGATCCTGAACCAGAAGTTCAACCTACTGATCCACGGGCTGAGAAGGTTTTAGAAGATGATTATAGAGGTCCTGCTATACTTGTAAATGAAAATAATGATATACGTGTTATATCTAAAATTGACGATACAAAGCCATTTATATCCAAAACAGACGGTTCAGCCCCAATACTTAATGTTTCTTTAAATTATTATTTAGGGGGATTAAATAATAATAAAATTTTAAAATTTATTGATACAAAATCATCACAATCAAGTTCTAATATTTCACAACCTGAAACTAATAATAGTGTGTCAACTGATTTAGCAGTAACGGATCTAGAAAATAAAATTACAGATACCAAGTCTTTAGACAATATCACGCTACACAATCCAGTGAATGATACTCAGTCAAATGTAGAAAGTATGATTGATGATAAAGAAAAATCTAATAAACAGAAAGATTTTTCTAAAGATGAAATTCCTTCTGGGGAAGAAACTAAAGATTCTATTTTGGTTGAGCCTAATGTTGTAAAATCTTGGGTAACTAATTATCACTCACCTGATAACCCTATTGTACCAAAAAATCTTATGTATTCTCCATATAATTTAATGAAATGGCATGGGCTACAAGCTTTTGACAAAGCATTAAATGACGATTTGACAAATGTTCCAATTCATCGAGCTGAATTTGAAGTCCTTAACAAAGAGGATACATACGCTATACGTAAAAAACCTTATAATAAACGATGGTTTGTTTTTCCATTTTTACCGGATTATTACGACCCTGAAGGAAAACAAACGAAAGAGTTACCTTTTTCAACAAAATCAAACCTTTTTGTTGTTGCGTTGAGTCCAGAAAGTTGGGAAGACCGCTATGCATCAAGTGACGTAGTAGCGCCTGCTATTGCAAAAGATGCCATTAAAGATATAGAACAGTTTGAAAATTATGAGTATGAAAAAAAACGATCTGTTCGTGAATTAACTGGCTACGCAATAACAAACATACCAACAACTAAAGTTTATTATCCAACAGGTAACAATAAACCAAAACTTAATTTTGGGCTTGTTAATGAATTAGATTATAACTTTAGTCCGTTTGCTGTTTCTTTATTTAATAAAATTGCTTTAGCAACAGAGAATCCACACATAGAACAAACTCTATGTGAAGAAGAATTTGGTAGAATTCTTTCACCGGGTATTTATAAAACTGTTTCGAAAAATGGGGATGCTTGGGAGATAGATATAAGTGTTTGGGAGCCATTAACTACAAACTCATGGTTAGTTGTTTCACAAATCGGTTTTAGTTATATCTTCTTTATAGTATTAAAAGAAACAATGATGAATTACGGACGTGAATTTTTAGCATACTTACTTGAGATTTTTAATACAACAGGTTTTTTACCTCCTATGATGTTTGATGAATTAAAAATTTTACTGGGGGAAAAAGAGACCGGTTTCCGTGTTGCAAAAGATTTTACCAAAGGATTTAAAGATGTTGTTGATATTGCTTCATTAGCTGATGAATTATTAGACACACTTTTATATTTACGTGGAATGATAACAAATCCTGCTCTGGCACAACGTGCACAAAGTTTATTATTAGTAGGTCCTCCGGGTACAGGAAAAACTTTATTAGTTCATGCATTAGCTCACGAAGCAAAAGTCCCTGTTCTCACATTAACGGCCAAAGGAAGTAAAGAGCCTGCAGCCTTTGAGCGTTTATTTACAGAAGCTCATAAACTATCACCGTGTATTGTATTTCTTGATGAAGTAGATTCAATCGCATCTGTACGATCTGGTATGGATCCTTCTGAACATTTGATGAAAGTCATTCGTCAAGGTTTAGATAGTTCGTCTAATTTAGCTAGAAGATCCAGAACCGATAATGCAGTTCCTGAAATGTCAACTATTATGGGCGATCTGCATCCACGAATTTTACAAAATAAAGAAATGTTCCACATGGGGGTTAATAGAGATGTTCAAAATCATATAATTAAAAAAAATGATGATGAATATTATAGGGTTGGGTTACTTTTAAAATTATTAACAGAGTTAGATGGTATTGAGAGTCGTGATGGCATTGTTATTATCGGTGCTACAAATAGACTTGACGTTTTAGATCCAGCTTTACTCCGACCGGGGCGTTTTATACGTAAAGTGAGATTAGGTTTACCAAATAAAAACAAACGGTTACAACTTTTTAAACATTATAGTTATATGTTAGGAAGTGATGCTAATATTCCATGGGATTATTTAGTAAAAGTAACATATGGTTTTAGTGCGGCAGATATTTCAACAATAATGAATGAATCTGGCTTAAAAGCAATAGCTCAAGCTAGCCATCATACATTAGAGACTATTGAACACGGTATTGATCGACTTACTACTACTTCGGTTGCAAGGGGCGTTGCAAAAGATACTAAAAACCCTAAAGCTAGAAAAGAATTTTTATTTTCCACTGCCCGGAGTGCTTATTATCAAGCAGCTAAAGCTCTTGTTGGAACTCTTTTAAAATACCACCCACCGGTGATAGTGGTTCATCTTTGGTATCGTCACTATAGCGTGCGTTATAATCAAATACAACGTACTGTACAATTAGAATGGTTAAAGTATGTTTGTCGTGGAGAACTAGAACATAGAATCATTGGAACATATGCTGGTAAAGCAGGGGAATATCTTTTTTTACAAGATCAAGGTGATTTTATAGATATATCTGATAATTCGAATATTGGGGCACAAGATTGGTCTATTGGGCAATCATTAGTTAAACTTCTCGTAGAAAATTGGTATATGTATACGGAAACTATGTTACTTCGAGAACCATTGCCATTAAAACGAAATTTTAACTCAATGGAACATAACGACGTTAGAGAACAATATTTATACGAATTTGCTCAAACGTATGAAAAAACCCCAACAGCAGCGAAGTTATTACACGGTAAAGCCCCACAAACAAGGTTTCCTGAAAAATGGTGGCATTTGAAACTTTATCAAAAATATTTAAACGGGGAAATTCAAAAATGGAGTTCAATTTATGTTCCAAACCCTGAAGAATGGAAATTTAATCCTTACTGGGTAGGGCCAGATCGAACATTTCATCAAAATACCATTGCAGCAAATATAGGTAAGTTTGAAAAACTAAAACATATGGCAATGTTAACTCGTGATTATAAAATGCATTCTATTATAATGGAATCTTTTAATTTAGCATTTTTAATTGTAACTGAGTACAGAGAATTACTTGATCAACTTGCATATGAATTGTTACATAATGAAATTTTACGTGAACATACTATTTATGAAATTTTTTCTAATTTTGGGTTTGATTGTGAAAATCTAAAAGAAGACTTACGGAAGGCTCCTAAAATGAATCCTTTACCAGAAGATTTTAAAATTTTATATCCTTCGTGGGGTTTAAATTCAGATAAACCTACAATTCGTTGGGTTGATATTGCTGCAATTCTTAATCCAGATAGTGTAGCTGAAGAAAATAATGATGAAGCTAACGTAACGACTGATGATTTGGAAAATACTAAGAAAAATAAAGGGAATACTGAGAATTCAGAAATTAATGAAATAACGTATAGTAATAGTGACGAATTAGGGGAAGAAGATGAGGAAGATGAGGAAATGCAACAGGAAAAAGTTATAGATATATTGGGGACTTTCTATAGTGACATAATTAGACCAAACCCGTTTAATTCGAACACTAATAAGGAAGATCAAGATCTTGATTCAAATCTAACTACTGAAAATTAAAAGATTTGAATTAAAAACATGAGTTTTTAATTCAAATCTTTTAGTAAATTAGAAACTAGAGATCTAAAATAGTTAATAATATTTGGTTAAGATGCTGCTAACCGGACTTGAACCGGTATAGATTTCTCTGTAACTTTTTGAAAGTTATGTGTCTACCATTTCACCATAGCAGCGATTTCAGATTTGTTTTTATACTATTGCAAATTCAATGAATTTGCAATAGTATAAAAACAAATTAACTTCTAATTTAATTTTACAATGATGAACCTAATCCTACATAAGATCCATAAAAAAATGTTCCTAATAACCCCAATACAACAACTCCCCCAACAGTTCCAATAAACCATAATGGAATACGACCGGTTGTGCTAGTATTAGACATAAAAAAATCTCCTTTTTTTTAAAGGACCCCAATAAAGGACTAACTGGGGTTAATTTGTGAATTAATACGTCAATTTTACTAAAAAATATAAGTAATAATTAATAAAATAAACTAATTGAAAATATAACTTGAAAACAAAACTGCTAATACAAAAATTAATAATAATCCCCAGTATAAACTGGTTCTATTTAATTCTACAGTTTGTTTATTAGGATTTGGTTTTGCCATAAAATAATATAACCTTTTTCAATTTTACCTAAATAATATAAATATTATTTAACGTTGAATAAATTGCATAGCCGTAATAGCACCTAAAAAGAAAACTGTAGGTACTGCTAATGCGTGTATAGCAAGCCAACGTACAGTAAAAATAGGATAAGTATAGGATTTTCTTGCTGTCATATGATAAAAATTCTAATTATTCTTTAAAATTAGAAATTTTTAAATTTCTAATTTAAAGGGATTTGTTTAATTAACTTGAGATAATTGTTTTACTTGATCTAAAGCGTTAAAACGATCCGTAATGAGTGGGGTTTCTTGTCGATCTTCAGTAAAATACTCACTTGGTCTTGGACTGCCAAAAATATCATAAGCAAGACCTGTACTCACAAATAACCACCCGGCAATAAATAAAGACGGAATGGTAATACTGTGAATTTCCCAGTAACGAATACTGGTTAAAACATCAGAAAAAGGGCGTTCTCCTGTAGCACCAGACATGCTATAACTCCTTATAATTTTTTTACTATAACAAAAAGTTTTTTCTTTCTTTTTTTAGTATACCAATTTTTTCAAAGAGCTTCAAAGTTTTCAAATTGTTTTAATTCATTTTTATATTTGGCGAACGACGGGGTTTGAACCCGCGAGTGATGGAGTCACAGTCCATTGCCTTACCACTTGGCTACGCCCGCCATGTATTAATTGGAGCGGATAGCGGGAATTGAACCCGCACCTCTTGCTTGGAAGGCAAGGGCACTACCTTTATGCAATATCCGCTTCTTTTTTTAATATATATATATTTGTATTAAAAACTACATTTTTAAAAAATCCTAAAAATGTTTAATACTCTCTACTCCTCAAGTATACTAATTAATAGTTGTTACGATAAAATTAATTAGTTAAAAAATTTTAAAATTTTAGGAAATCAAAGCTATGCTTTCAATTTTTCAATTAGTATTATTTAGTTTAATTTTACTATCTTTTTTCTTAGTGGTTGGTGTACCTGTTGTTTTAGCTTTACCAGATGGCTGGGGTGAAAACAAACGTCTTGTTTTTTCAGGTCTTGGGGTTTGGTTAATACTTGTATTTGCTGTAGGTATTTTAAATTCATTTGTAATTTAATGCAATCTTAAACGTTACTTATTTAGTAACGTTTAAGATTTTTATTAATTGATTTTTTAAATATATAAAGGTTAAAATATATACTAATTAGGGTTACTAACTCAATGGTAGAGTATTCGGCTTTTAACCGACAAGCTCCGGGTTCAAATCCCGGGTAACCCATTAAAAATTTCTTAAAAATTTTGTTTTAAAATTATATAATTTTTAGTTAATAAAGCCTAATGAATAATGCTTTTTCTGTAATTAATAAATATTTTAAACAAAAATATTTATTAAAAAACAATTTAGTAACGCAAAAACCGAAGTACCTTTGTGGTATTTCAGGGGGACAAGATTCAATATTTTTGTTTTTTTGGTTATTACATCTTAAAAATAAATGGAATTTTAATTTAAGTATTTTACACTGTCATCATTTATGGCAACAATCTAATTTTTTAGCATTTCAACAAATTTATAAATTAGCTTATATTTTTAAAACTCCAATATGTATTAACCTGAGTGAAAGTGTATTTTTTACTGAAACTAGTGCACGAAATTGGCGTCAGGAAGCTTATAATAGAAGCCTAATTTTTGAAAATGGAGATAAATTTATTTTAGGGCACACAGCAACTGATCAATTAGAAACAGCACTCTTGAATCTTATTCGTGGGACAAGTCCACAAGGATTTTGTAGCTTAAAACAAAGTAAAAAGTTAATAATTTCATTATATATATATATATTTCCTTCGTATTTTTTTAAATTTTCTCCAAAAAAATTTAATGCAAAAACAGTTAAAAATAAATGTTATCTAAAATCAAAATTTTTTAGTAAACAAGTTTTTACTTCAAAATTAAAAAAAAATAATATAAAAACAGTTGATTTTTTGTTTTGCTACAATTTAATAAAATTTACTGGTTTTGGTTCATCTTTTAAACTTAACGGGAATTATATATATTTTTCTTTTTTTATTTCGTATCAGAGGCAAAAAAAAAATTCTTTGTATAATGTGTTAATACGACCATTATTATTTTTGCATCGAAATGATATAACCGTATTATCCAAATTTTATCATATTCCTATTATTAATGATTTTAGTAACTATAATGTAGTATTTTCTCGTAATAAACTTAGACATCAAATTTTTCCTAAATTTCGGTCGTTATTTCATTTACCCTTTGATTACAAATTTTATCAATATTTACAAATTTTATTAGATGAGCAAGATTATATGGATAATATAGTTATAAATTTAATAAAAAAAAGGAAATATTGCGAAAATGAAGAATTTAAAGAATTACCGATTGCTCTTCAACGACGTTACATACATTTCGTATTAGAAAGTTATATTAAAAAAAAATGTAATTATTTTCAAATAGAATATATTCAATCTATTTTATTATTTGATTAAATAATAAAGTTTTTAAGTTTGCCAAGAACCAGACTTGAACTGGTGACACGAAGATTTTCAGTCTTCCGCTCTACCGACTGAGCTATCTCGGCTATTTTTAATTGTTATAGTAATATATTATTATAAATTTAAAGCTTATAGAAGCTATTGGTTCAATTAGAACAAAGTTCTAGTTTATTTTTATTAAAAAATTATGATATTAAAATTTATGTTAGATAAAGTAATATTAATTATTTCACTTTTAATTCTATTATTTATAGTACCGCAAACAACAACAAGAGAAAATGTTATTTTTAAAAAATTTTATAATAGTGGTTTTTTTTCTAATTTCTCACAAGTAGAATTTACTATAAATTTAATAAATTGGGCATTAATTTTATTATTTTTTGGTTGTTCTTTTTTATTTAGTATGTATTAGAATAATAAAATGTCTACCTGGGATGGAAGGACTCGAACCTCCGAGTGGCGGGATCAAATCCCGCTGCCTTACCACTTGGCGACACCCCATACTATTTTTAATTATAAATATTTCTTAATATGAAATATTAGTTCATTAAAAAGAAACTAATATTTCATATTAAGAAATATTTAACAAGAATCTCATATTATTGAAAATAAAAGATTTATTTATATAATGTGGCACCTAATCGTACAGCAAAAAGCCCTGTAACTAATGCTAAAAATAATGCTATAAATATTTGAGAATCTGCAAGCGACATAAATTTTAATAATATTTAATAAATGCTATTTACTAATTTTTTAAGCTAAAATTATTGGATTTTAATATTAATTAACTTATAAATTTCCTTTACGACTGGCAAGTAATATAATAACAAGTGGGCCGGCCGCAATAATTAAAAATAAACTTGTTAATTGAAAAAATATTTCTAAATTCATGATGTATTTTTTAATTTCGTAATTTAATAAAATTTTAGGTGAAGTAAAATATAAAATTTAAATAATGTTAAATTTGTATTAGAAAAAAGCTTATATTAGTTTAAATAATAATATAATAATTTTAAATATTTACTTTAACGAAAACTTACTGACGCCTGCCAAACAAACGCTAATAATAAAAAAAATACAGGTATAACTGGTAAAACGTTTACAATAGGGTCGAAGGGAGCATAAGCTTCAGGTAATTTTGCTAATAATAACACGGGAATCCTCCAAAATAATATATTTTGAGCAATTGAATTGTATGTTCAAAACTACTATTCAATTTTTTACTTAATTTAGTATTATTATGCTAGAAAAATATATTTTTTACCAATGTTTTTAATACTTTAAATATTTAATTCAAAAATAAAATCATTATAATAAAAATATAAAATATTAATAAAATTAAAATATTGTATAAACATAACTATAATAATGTAAAATAAAAAGTAGTTGTTCTTATATACCTATAAGATATATTTCTTTTTATAGTACTTATTATTTTAAGTATATACTAATTTTTAGTGATTTGTAAAAAAAAATTATGAAATTAGCGTATTGGATGTATGCAGGGCCTGCTCATATAGGTACATTAAGAGTGGCGAGTTCATTTAAAAATGTTCATGCTATTATGCACGCGCCTTTAGGCGATGATTATTTTAATGTAATGCGCTCTATGTTAGAACGAGAACGCGATTTTACACCCGTAACCGCAAGTATCGTTGATCGTCATGTTCTTGCTCGGGGTTCTCAAGAAAAAGTTGTCGAAAATATTACTCAAAAAGACCAGCAACAAAAACCTGATTTAATTGTATTAACACCAACTTGTACTTCAAGTATTTTACAAGAAGACTTACAAAATTTTGTAAATCGTGCATCTTTAGAATCTAATTCAGATGTAATTTTAGCTGACGTTAATCATTATCGAGTGAATGAATTACAAGCAGCAGACCGGACACTTGAACAAATTATTAGATTTTCAGTTGAAAAAGCACGTAAAAATAATGTATTAAATACAGAAAAAACTATTAAACCTTCTGCTAATATTCTTGGGATTTTTACATTAGGATTTCATAATCAACATGATTGTCGAGAATTAAAAAGACTTTTAAATGATTTAGGAATCTCAATTAATGAAATTGTTCCAGAAGGTGGGTCGATTAAAAATTTAAAAAATTTGACTAAAGCGTGGTTTAATCTAGTTCCGTATCGAGAAGTAGGTTTAATGGCGGCAAATTATTTACAAAACGAATATTCCATGCCTTATGTTGGAATAACCCCAATGGGTATCGTAGATACAGCTAATTGTATTCGTGAAATTTCTACTATTATTAAAAACCAAAACCCTGATATAGAATTTAATACAGAAAAATATATTGATCAACAAACAAGATTTGTATCCCAAGCTGCGTGGTTTTCGCGTTCTATTGATTGTCAAAATTTAACAGGGAAAAAAGCTGTGGTATTTGGTGATGCAACACATGCAGCTAGTATGACAAGAATATTAGCGCGTGAGATGGGGATTAATGTTTCATGTGCTGGTACATATTGTAAACACGACGCAGATTGGTTTCGTGAACAAGTTCAAGGATTTTGTGATCAAGTTTTAATTACTGATGATCATACTCAAGTTGCAGATATGATTTCTCGCATTGAACCTTCAGCTATTTTTGGTACTCAAATGGAACGTCATATTGGAAAACGGTTAGATATACCATGTGGTGTTATTTCAGCACCTGTACATATCCAAAATTTCCCATTAGGTTATAGACCGTTTTTAGGTTATGAGGGTACGAATCAAATTGCTGATTTAGTTTATAATTCGTTCACATTAGGGATGGAAGATCATCTATTAGAAATTTTTGGTGGTCATGATACAAAAGAAGCAATTACAAAATCACTTTCTACAGAATCTGGCTGTAGTTGGTCACCCGATGGGTTAGCGGAGCTTAAAAAAATACCAGGTTTTGTTCGTGGAAAAGTTAAACGTAATACGGAAAAATTTGCTCGTGAACGAAATATTACTGAAATTACAGTAGAAATAATGTATGCGGCGAAAGAAGTTATTGGTGCATAGTAATTAAACCCGTATGCACTATTTTTTTATGGAATAATAAATATAAAAATTTAGCTTTTATTATTAAAACATGGTTTTATATTTATCTATTTTTTTATAGAGTTTAATTTTTAAAATTTTAAATTAGATCAATTTTAAAAATTATTTAGAAAGCAACAATAATAAATATTATAATTTTTTTATAATTAAATATATTATAAAATAGAAATTTCAATCAATATTATTTAGTTAGTTGAATTTACCCTCGAGAGGGAAAGGAGAATTTTTCGCCATGACAATTAGCCCCCCAGAACGCGAATCTAAAAAAGTTAAAATTCTTGTAGATCAAAATCCTGTAGAAACGAACTTTGAAAGATGGGCAAAACCTGGTCATTTTTCACGCACGTTAGCAAAAGGTCCAAATACAACTACATGGATTTGGAACTTACATGCAGATGCACATGATTTTGATACACAAACAAGTGATCTAGAAGATATTTCGCGAAAAGTGTTTAGTGCACATTTTGGTCAACTTGGTATTATTTTTATCTGGTTAAGTGGTATGTATTTTCACGGCGCACGTTTTTCAAATTATGAAGCATGGTTAACAGACCCTATTCATATTAAACCAAGTGCGCAAGTTGTATGGCCAATTGTAGGCCAAGAAATGCTGAATGCTGATGTTGGTGGCGGATTTCAAGGGATTCAAATTACATCTGGATTTTTCCAACTTTGGCGTGCTTCAGGTATTACTAGTGAGCTTCAATTATATACTACAGCGATTGGTGGTCTTGTATTCGCTGCAGCTATGTTTTTTGCAGGTTGGTTTCATTACCATAAAGCAGCGCCTAAATTAGAATGGTTTCAAAACGTAGAGTCTATGCTAAATCACCATTTAGCAGGTCTTTTAGGTCTTGGAAGTTTAGCATGGGCTGGGCACCAAATTCACGTGTCTCTTCCAATAAATAAGCTTCTTGATGCTGGTGTTGATCCCAAAGAAATACCACTCCCACATGAATATATTTTTCATCCAGAATATCTTGCACAATTATACCCAAGTTTTGGCAAAGGATTAGTACCGTTTTTTACACTTGATTGGAATCAATATAGCGATTTCTTAACTTTTAAAGGCGGTTTAAACCCAATTACTGGAAGTTTATGGCTAACAGATACTGCCCATCATCATCTTGCTATTGCTGTTCTTTTTATTATTGCAGGACACCAATATCGTACTAATTGGGGTATTGGACATAGTATCAAAGAAATTCTAGAAGCACATAGCGGTCCATTTACTGGGCAAGGTCATAAAGGTTTATATGAAATATTAACAACTTCTTGGCATGCTCAATTAGCTATTAACTTAGCTTTATTTGGTTCATTATCTATCATTGTTGCTCAGCATATGTATTCAATGCCACCTTATCCATATTTGGCAACTGATTATGGTACTCAATTATCTATTTTCACACATCATACATGGATTGGTGGATTTTGTATTGTAGGTGCTGGGGCACATGCTGCTATTTTTATGGTTCGTGATTATGATCCTTATAATAACTATAATAATTTATTAGATCGTGTTTTACGCCATAGAGATGCAATAATTTCTCATTTAAATTGGGTATGTATTTTCTTAGGTTTTCATAGTTTTGGATTATATATCCATAATGATACTTTAAGTGCTTTAGGACGTCCTCAAGATATGTTTTCAGATACTGCAATACAACTACAACCCGTTTTTGCACAATGGATTCAAAACATTCATGCGACAGCTCCAGGTTTCACTGCTCCAAATGTATTAGATCCTACAAGTTTTACTTGGAGTAATAATATTGTAGCAATTGGTGGGAAAGTAGCAATGATGCCAATTCCATTAGGGACAGCTGATTTTTTAGTACATCATATTCATGCTTTTACTATTCACGTAACGGTTTTAATTTTGTTAAAAGGTGTACTATATGCTCGTAGTTCTCGATTAATCCCTGATAAATCAAATTTAGGGTTTAGATTTCCTTGTGACGGTCCGGGTCGTGGAGGAACATGTCAAGTTTCTGCTTGGGATCACGTGTTTTTAGGTTTATTTTGGATGTATAATTCTTTATCAATTGCTATTTTTCATTTTAGTTGGAAAATGCAATCAGATGTTTGGGGTACTGTAACAGCAAACGGCGTTTCTCATATTACTGGTGGTAATTTTGCTCAAAGTGCGAACACTATTAATGGGTGGTTACGTGACTTTTTATGGGCTCAGTCATCACAAGTTATTCAATCATACGGGTCAGCACTTTCTGCTTATGGACTTATTTTCTTAGGAGCACATTTTGTTTGGGCTTTTAGTTTAATGTTTTTATTTAGTGGACGTGGTTACTGGCAAGAATTGATCGAATCTATTCTTTGGGCACATAATAAATTAAAAGTGGCTCCAGCTATTCAACCTCGTGCTTTAAGTATTACACAAGGTCGGGCTGTGGGTGTAGCTCATTATTTATTAGGTGGTATTGCAACCACATGGTCATTCTTCTTAGCAAGAATTTTAGCTGTGGGTTAATAAACTGTAACAATTTAGAGGTTTTTGTAACCTCTAAATTGTTAAATAAGTCGTTTTTTTATTTGTTAAAATATATGTATTAGTGCAATCTTTTTAAAGATTGCCTTTAATAGGAGAATTATAAAATGGCAACAAAATTTCCAAAATTTAGTCAAGCCTTAGCACAAGATCCAACTACACGTAGGCTTTGGTATGGTTTAGCCACAGCTCATGATTTCGAAAGTCATGATGGTATGACTGAAGAACGTCTTTATCAAAAAATATTTGCATCACATTTTGGCCAATTAGCGATTATATTTCTTTGGACTTCTGGAAACCTTTTTCATGTAGCTTGGCAAGGAAATTTCGAGCAGTGGGTTCAAGATCCTCTTCATATCCGACCAATAGCTCATGCAATCTGGGATCCACATTTTGGGCAGCCAGCCGTGGAAGCTTTTACACGTGGCGGTGCTTCAGGTCCAGTAAATATATCTACATCTGGTGTTTATCAATGGTGGTTTACTATTGGGCTACGAACTAACCAAGATTTATATAATGGATCTATTTTTTTAATTATTCTTTCAGCATTATTTCTATTTGCAGGCTGGTTACATCTTCAACCTTCTTTTCAGCCAACGCTTTCATGGTTTAAAAATGCAGAATCGCGATTAAATCACCATTTAGCAGGTCTGTTTGGAATAAGTTCTCTAGCTTGGGCAGGTCATTTAATTCATGTGGCTATTCCTGAATCTCGTGGGCAACATGTACGTTGGAATAATTTTCTGACTGTTTTACCACATCCGGCTGGATTAACTCCTTTTTTTACAGGTAATTGGGTTGTATATGCTCAAAACCCAGATGCAGCTACTCATGTTTGGAATACTAATGAAAACGCTGGGAGTGCTATTTTAACATTCTTAGGAGGGTTTCATCCTGAAACTCAAAGTCTTTGGTTAACAGATATGGCACATCATCATCTTGCTATTGCTGTTGTTTTCATATTAGCCGGACACCAATATAGAACAATTTTTGGTATTGGGCATAGTATCAAAGAAATTCTAGAAAGTCACACTCCTCCGTCAGGAAATTTAGGTGCTGGTCATAAAGGTATTTATGATACTCTTAATAATTCTTTACACTTTCAATTAGGGTTAGCTTTAGCGAGTCTTGGCACAATTACATCTTTAGTAGCACAACATATGTATTCGTTACCACCGTATGCTTACTTAGCGCAAGATTTTACTACACAAGCATCTTTATATACACATCATCAGTACATTGCTGGGTTTTTATTAACAGGTGCATTTGCACATGGTGCTATATTTTTTGTTCGTGATTATGATCCAGAAGCAAATCGTGGCAACGTGTTGGCACGTATTTTAGATCATAAAGAAGCTATTATTTCACATTTAAGTTGGGTTAGTTTATTTTTAGGTTTTCATACATTAGGATTATATGTACATAATGATGTAATGCAAGCTTTTGGGACTCCAGAAAAACAAATTCTAATCGAACCTGTTTTTGCTCAATGGATTCAAGCTTCTCATGGTAAAACTGTTTATAATTTTGATTTTTTATTATCATCATCAACAAGTGCTCCAAGTATTGCTGGTCAAAATTTATGGTTACCTGGATGGTTAGAATCAATTAATAATGAAAGTAATTCATTATTTTTAAACATAGGCCCTGGTGATTTCTTAGTGCATCATGCAATTGCTTTAGGACTACATACAACTACATTAATTGGGATCAAAGGTGCTCTAGACGCGCGTGGTTCAAAATTAATGCCAGATAAAAAAGATTTTGGTTATGCTTTCCCTTGTGATGGTCCTGGACGTGGTGGTACTTGTGATATTTCAGCTTGGGATGCTTTCTATCTTGCTATTTTCTGGATGTTAAATACTATAGGTTGGGTTACTTTTTATTGGCATTGGAAACATCTTGGCATTTGGCAAGGGAATGTTAGTCAATTTAATGAATCGTCTACTTATTTAATGGGTTGGCTTCGAGATTATTTATGGCTTAATTCTTCACAACTTATTAATGGTTATAATCCTTTTGGGATGAATAGTCTTTCTGTTTGGGCGTGGATGTTTTTATTTGGTCATTTAGTGTATGCAACAGGATTTATGTTCTTAATTTCTTGGCGTGGTTATTGGCAAGAATTAATTGAGACTTTAGCTTGGGCTCACGAAAGAACACCTTTAGCTAATCTAATTCGTTGGCGCGACAAACCAGTAGCACTTTCTATTGTTCAAGCACGTTTAGTTGGTTTAGCACATTTTTCTGTTGGCTATATTCTTACTTATGCTGCTTTCTTAATCGCTTCGACTTCTGGTAAATTCGGTTAAATTTTTTTAATTACTCTTTTATTAATAAAATAAAAGAGTAATTATTATTACTGTTAAAATTTTTTGCGGTGTAAAAAGTTACGATTTTTACACTTTTTTATTTTTATGATATAATATAAAAAACTGGTTGTATGTAATTACTATTTATTACTTGTATAAGTACTAATATGATTAATTTAAGATTATTTTTTATTATTAATAAAATTTAATAATTTCTTATTAGTAGAATTTATTAATAATTTATATATATACTTATTTTTAAAAAGGATTTTTAAATTTACAAAATTTAAAAAATTACAAACACTACAAAAATCAACTAAATCTTTAAAATTATGGCTGTTTCTACAGAAACTAAAAATGTTGGTCGTATTACTCAAATAATAGGCCCTGTTTTAGATATTACTTTTACGGCAAATAAAATGCCTAAAATTTATAATGCTTTATCTATTACTAGTAAAAATAATGAAGGTCAAGATATTTTTGTCGTTTGCGAAGTTCAGCAGTTATTAGGTGATCATTGTGTTCGCGCTATTTCTATGAACGCTACAGATGGCTTAAAACGAGGTATGGAGGTTTTAGATACTGGTGATGCTTTAAATGTACCGGTTGGTAAGGGAACTTTAGGTCGGATTTTTAATGTACTTGGGGAAACTGTTGATAATTTAGGTCCGGCTAATACTTCAGATCAACTACCAATTCACCGTTCTGCTCCTGAATTTGTAGATTTAGATACGAAACTTTCTATTTTTGAAACAGGTATAAAAGTAGTTGATTTATTAGCGCCATATAGAAGAGGGGGTAAAATTGGATTATTTGGAGGAGCTGGTGTTGGAAAAACAGTATTAATTATGGAATTAATTAATAACATAGCAAAAGCTCATGGTGGTGTTTCTGTTTTTGGTGGTGTAGGTGAGCGTACACGTGAAGGTAATGATTTATATATGGAAATGAAAGAGTCTGGTGTAATTAATGAGTCTAACATAGCTGATTCAAAAGTAGCACTAGTATATGGCCAAATGAATGAACCGCCGGGTGCGCGTATGCGAGTAGGTTTAACAGCTCTTACAATGGCTGAGTATTTTAGAGATGTAAGTGGACAAGATGTTTTATTGTTTATTGATAATATTTTCCGTTTTGTACAAGCGGGTTCTGAGGTGTCTGCTTTATTAGGTCGTATGCCCTCTGCTGTTGGATATCAGCCTACATTAGCGTCAGAAATGGGTACTTTACAAGAGCGGATCACATCAACAAAAGATGGAAGGATTACTTCAATTCAAGCTGTATATGTTCCGGCAGATGATTTAACGGATCCAGCTCCAGCAACTACATTTGCTCATTTAGACGCTACTACTGTACTTTCACGAGGGTTAGCTTCTAAAGGAATATATCCAGCGGTGGATCCTTTAGATTCAACATCTACAATGTTACAACCTTGGATTGTGGGTGATGAGCATTACAAATGTGCACAAAACGTAAAACAAACATTACAACGTTATAAAGAATTACAAGATATTATTGCAATTTTAGGTTTAGATGAATTATCACCTGATGATCGTTTAGTTGTTGCGCGTGCTAGAAAAATTGAACGGTTTTTATCTCAGCCTTTTTTTGTAGCTGAAGTTTTTACTGGTTCTCCTGGAAAATATGTTAGTTTGGCTGATACTATTAAAGGGTTTAATTTGATATTAGCTGGTGAGTTAGATGATTTATCAGAGCAAGCTTTCTATTTAGTGGGTAATATTGAAGAAGCAGTAGAAAAAGGATCTACAAAAAAATAATTTTTTGGTTACTATAGATTTTTTATAGTAACCTAAAAAATCTATAGTTTATAGTTATATAAATTTATACAAAATATTTAAGTAAATACTTGTTTTTTAATTATAAAAATGAGTATTATTAAAATTAGGGATAAACTAAAAAATTATGGTACTTCAAGTTTCAGTTATGACACCGGATGGAATTTTTTGGGATAATAAAGCTGAAGAGGTAATACTTCCCACAAATACTGGCCAAATGGGAGTATTAGCTAATCACGCACCACTAATTACAGCATTAGATGTCGGTGTAACATTAATTCGTACTGATAAAAAATGGACTCCATTAGCTGTTATGGGTGGTTTTGCATTAGTAAAACAAAATCAAATAACAATTTTAGTAAATGGAGCAGAATCTGCAGATACTTTACAATCAGAAAAAGTAGAAGCTTCGTTTGAAGAAGCCAAAAATCAATTAGAAAATGCAGAAAGCGAAAAACAAAGAGGAGATGCTCTTTTTCAATTTAAGCGCGCAAGAGCTCGATATCAAGTAATTAAACAGTTAGTTAATTAATTTTTTTAATTAAAAAGCATTTTGTTAAACAAATTTAAATAATAAAAATTGAATATGTCGCGTTATAGAGGTCCACGATTGCGTGTTATACGCCGTTTAGGTGAATTACCTGGTTTTTCAAAAAAAGTAGATAAAAACCAGGTTCCACCAGGTCAACATGGATGGAAAAAAAAGACAGGAGATCAAAAAAAATTAAAAGAATCACAATACGGGATTCGTCTTAAAGAAAAACAAAAATTAAGATATAATTATGGAATTAATGAGCGCCAACTTATAAATTATGTACGGGAAGCTCGTCGACGGAAAGGATCTACTGGAGAAGGATTATTACAACTTTTAGAAATGCGATTAGATAATATCATTTATCGTTTAGGATTTGCGCCCACTATTCCTGCAGCACGTCAACTTATAAGCCACGGTCATATTAGTATAAACAAGAAAAACATTAATATTCCAAGTTATACTTGCAAAATTAATGATAATATTTCGGTTTTAAAAAATTCTCAACAATTAGTAAAAAATTATTTAAATAATGCAGGGATTGCTACTGTTTCTTCTTATTTAAATCTAAATAAAGAAACATTAGAAGCTAGTGTTAATAACATCGTACCACGCGATTTAATTAAACTCCAAGTTAATGAATTATTAGTTATTGAGTATTATTCTAGAAAATTATAATCATTATATCTTTATGCTTAAGGTGCTAAGCATAAAGATATAAGATCATTAAATGCGGAAAGATGTCTGAGTGGTTGAAGGTATAGATCTGGAACATCTATGTGATGCTTTTATATCACCGAGGGTTCGAATCCCTCTCTTTCCGTCTTTTTGCGATTATGATGAAATTGGTAGACATGCAAGCTTGAGGGGTTTGTGGGTAAACACCCATCCCGGTTCAAGTCCGGGTAATCGCAAAAAATATTTAATTTAGCAATATTATTGACAAATAAAAAAATTTATATTTATACTAAAATTATTATTAAATCCTCAGTAGCTCAGCGGTAGAGCGATCGGCTGTTAACCGATTGGTCGTAGGTTCAATCCCTACCTGGGGAGAAAAAATTAAAATAAAAATTTGGTTTTATAACTTATTTAATTATTATATAAATAACAGCATAAAAATTAGTTATTGTTTAAAGAAGTTATAATACTATAATTATTAACTTCTTTTCAATTTATAATAATTATAAATACGTTATATAATAATTTTGAAATTTTATATCTAAACATTTTTTAAAAGGAGCCTTTTTATGTCTCATACTGTAAAGATTTACGATACATGCATTGGTTGTACTCAATGTGTTCGTGCGTGCCCAACTGATGTTTTGGAGATGGTACCTTGGGATGGGTGTAAAGCTAGTCAAATCGCGTCAGCACCGCGAACTGAAGATTGCGTAGGTTGTAAACGTTGTGAATCTGCATGCCCGACTGACTTTTTAAGTGTTCGTGTATATTTAGGTCCTGAAACTACTCGTAGTATGGGATTAGCTTATTAATAATAATATTTATGTTGGAGTTGAAAAAACCCAACATAAATATTATTATTAATAAAGAGAGGCTGATTGGATTGATACTTAAACTTATAAAAAGGAATTTATTTTTTGTGAAAACGAAGAGTTTGATCCTGGCTCAGGATAAACGCTGGCGGCATGCTTAACACATGCAAGTTGTACGAAGGTATTTTTTCTCTCGGGAAAAGATATACTGAGTGGCGGACGGGTGAGTAACACGTAAGAACCTACCTTTTGGAAAGGGACAACTATTGGAAACGATAGCTAATACCTTATATTGCTGAGAAGTGAAAAATGAAAATTGCCAAGAGATGGGCTTGCGCCTGATTAGCTAGTTGGTGTGGTAAAGGCATACCAAGGCAATGATCAGTAGCTGTTCTGAGAGGATGATCAGCCACACTGGGACTGAGACACGGCCCAGACTCCTACGGGAGGCAGCAGTGAGGAATTTTCCGCAATGGGCGAAAGCCTGACGGAGCAATGCCGCGTGAAGGATGAAGGCCTATGGGTTGTAAACTTCTTTTCTCAGAAAAGAATTATGACGGTATCTGAGGAATAAGCATCGGCTAACTCTGTGCCAGCAGCCGCGGTAAGACAGAGGATGCAAGCGTTATCCGGAATGATTGGGCGTAAAGCGTCTGTAGGTTGTTTAAAAAGTATTCTGTCAAAGATTAGGGCTTAACCCTAGATAGGCAGAATAAACTTTTAAGCTAGAGTTTGGTAGAGGCAGAGGGAATTCCCGGTGGAGCGGTGAAATGCGTAGATATCGGGAGGAACACCAAAGGCGAAGGCACTCTGCTGGGCCAATACTAACACTGAGAGACGAAAGCGAGGGGAGCAAATGGGATTAGATTCCCCAGTAGTCCTCGCCGTAAACAATGGAAACTAGGTGTTGGGTGTATAAAAATCATTCAGTATCGTAGCTAACGCATTAAGTTTCCCGCCTGGGGAGTATGCTCGCAAGAGTGAAACTCAAAGGAATTGACGGGAACCCGCACAATTGGTGGGGTACGTGGTTTAATTCGATGCAACGCGAAGAACCTTACCAGGATTTGACATGTCACTTGTTTCTTCAACTTACTACTTTAATTGGTTTTAAGCGGAAACATTAAAAAGTGAACACAGGTGGTGCATGGCTGTCGTCAGCTCGTGTCTTGAGATGTTGGGTTAAGTCCCGCAACGAGCGCAACCCTTTTTTTGAATTGCTTGGCGCTTTTAAACGCTTTTAGAGAGGAAATTCAAAATACTGCCGGTGACAAGCCGGAGGAAGGTGAGGATGACGTCAAGTCAGCATGCCCCTTATATCCTGGGCGACACACGTGCTACAATGGCCGGAACAAAGAGAAGCGACCCCGCGAGGACAAGCTAACCTCAAAAATCCGGTCTCAGTTCGGATTGCAGGCTGCAACTCGCCTGCATGAAGTTGGAATCAATAGTAATCGCAGGTCAGCCACACTGCGGTGAATACGTTTCCGGGTTTTGCACACACCGCCCGTCACACCACGGAAATTGGCTACGCCCGAAGTCATTACTCTAACCATCTAATGGAGGGGGATGCCTAAGGCGGGGCTAGTGACTGGGGTGAAGTCGTAACAAGGTAGCCGTACTGGAAGGTGCGGCTGGATCACCTCCTTATAAAGGAAACTAAATTTATTTTATTATTCTTTTATATCATATATATATTACCTACGTAAAAAAAACGTAGGTATTATATACTCGGGCTATTAGCTCAGTTGGTGAGAGCGCACCCCTGATAAGGGTGAGGTCGCTGGTTCAAATCCAGCATAGCCCACCAATAAAAAAAAATATAATATTTGGGAATATAGCTCAGCTGGTAGAGCGCTGCCCTTGCAAGGCAGATGTCAGCGGTTCAAGTCCGCTTATTTCCACCAAAAATGTTAAAAAATTTTTTTTACATTTTAGAACATGGTCAAATGAATTAAAGCGTAGGGCGGATACCTAGGCATCTAGAGACGAAGAAGGGCGTGGTACCGACGATACACTTCGGGGAGTTGGAAACAAGCATTGATCCGAAGATTCCCGAATAGGGCAACCTTTTATTCTTTTTGCTGAATTCATAAGCAAAAAAGAGACAACTCAGTGAACTGAAACATCTTATTAACTGAAGGAAAATAAAGCAAACGCGATTTCCCGAGTAGTGGCGAGCGAAAAGGAAACAGCCTAAACCAATTTTTAAAATTGGGGTTGTGGGATAACCAAAAAATATTTTTAAAAATATTTTTCAAGTAGTTATTTAATTATAAATTAGACGAAGCAGCTGAATCCTGCACCATAGATGGTGAAAGTCCAGTCGTCAAAAATTCAAATTTAACTATGTGTTTTTCCCAAGTAGCACGGGACACGAGAAATCCCGTGTGAATCAGCGAGGACCACCTCGTAAGGCTAAATACTCCTAGATGACCGATAGTGAAATAGTACCGTGAGGGAAAGGTGAAAAGAACCCCTGAAGGGGAGTGAAATAGAACATGAAATCCTATGCTGACAAACAGTGGGAGGTTTTTTTTAAACTGACCGCGTGCCTGTTGAAGAATGAGCCGGCGACTTAGAAAAAGTGGCGTGGTTAAGGAAAAATTCCGAAGCCTTAGCGAAAGCGAGTCTGAATAGGGCGATCAAATATTTTAATATTTACAATTTAGTCATTTTTTCTAGACCCGAACCCGGGTGATCTAACCATGACCAGGATGAAACTTGGGTGATACCAAGTGAAGGTCCGAACCGACCGATGTTGAAAAATCGGCGGATGAGTTGTGGTTAGCGGTGAAATACCAGTCGAACCCGGAGCTAGCTGGTTCTCCCCGAAATGCGTTGAGGCGCAGCAGTACATCTAGTCTATCTAGGGGTAAAGCACTGTTTCGGTGCGGGCTGTGAAAACGGTACCAAATCGTGGCAAACTCTGAATACTAGAAATGACGGTGTAGTAGTGAGACTGTGGGGGATAAGCTCCATTGTCAAGAGGGAAACAGCCCAGACCACCAGCTAAGGCCCCAAAATGGTAATGTAGTGACAAAGGAGGTGAAAATGCAAACACAACCAGGAGGTTGGCTTAGAAGCAGCCATCCTTTAAAGAGTGCGTAATAGCTCACTGGTACTAGCGTTTTTGCGCCGAAAATGTACGGGACTTAATTATCTGCCGAAGCTGTGGGATATATGAAAATAATGTATATATAAAAATACAATTTATATCGGTAGGGGAGCGTTCTGCTTTAGGGTGAAGTTTAAATGTAAGTTTAGATGGACCAAGCAGAAGTGAGAATGTCGGCTTGAGTAACGCAAACATTGGTGAGAATCCAATGCCCCGAAAACCTAAGGATTCCTTCACTAGGTTCGTCCATGAAGGGTGAGTCAGGACCTAAGGCGAGGCCGAACGGCGTAGTCGATGGCAAACAGGTTAATATTCCTGTACTGTTTTGTATTTGATACCAGGGGACAGAAGAGGTAACAATTAGCCGTTATTGGATTTCGGTGGAAACTTGCAAAGCTGGGAAAAGAAAAAAAACTTCTTCCTTTTTAAAGCTAACGAGTGATACGTTTGTATTTTATTTATAAAATATGAATTAATTTCTTATCATATTCTCAAGAAAAGCCTGTATTATCTATAAATGCAAAACACCTGTACCATAAACCGACACAGGTAGGTAGGTAGAGTATACCAAGGGGCGCGAGATAACTCTCTCTAAGGAACTCGGCAAAATGACCCCGTAACTTCGGGAGAAGGGGTGCCAAGGGGTGATTTTTCATCTTTTGGCCGCAGTGACCAGGCCCAGGCGACTGTTTATCAAAAACACAGGACTCCGCAAAGTCGTAAGACAACATATGGGGGCTGACGCCTGCCCAGTGCCGGAAGGTTAAAGAAGTAGGTTATTCTTTTTTAAGAAAAAGCTTGCGACTGAAGCCCCGGTGAACGGCGGCCGTAACTATAACGGTCCTAAGGTAGCGAAATTCCTTGTCGGATAAGTCCCGACCCGCACGAAAGGCGTAACGATCTGGGCGCTGTCTCGGAGAGAGACTCGGTGAAATAGACATGTCTGTGAAGATGCGGACTACCTGCACCTGGACAGAAAGACCCTATGAAGCTTGACTGTAGCCTGAAATTGAATTTGGGTTTTTTTTGCGCAGACTAGGTGGGAGGCGTTGATAATTTTCTTTTGGGAAAATTGGAGCCAACAGTGAGAGACCACTCTGGAAAAGCTAGAATTCTAATGGCGTTCCTTGAAGCAGGACGCTTGACAGTTTCAGGTGGGCAGTTTGACTGGGGCGGTCATCTCTTAAAAGGTAACAGAGATGTGCAAAGGTTCCTTCAGGCTGGACGGAAATCAGCCGTAGAGTATAAAGGCAGAAGGGAGCTTGACTGTAAGACCTACAAGTCAAACAGGGGCGAAAGCCGGCCTTAGTGATCCGACGGTACCGAGTGGAAGGGCCGTCGCTAAACGGATAAAAGTTACTCTAGGGATAACAGGCTGATCTTCCCCAAGAGTTCACATCGACGGGAAGGTTTGGCACCTCGATGTCGGCTCATCGCAACCTGGGGCGGTAGTACGTCCCAAGGGTTGGGCTGTTCGCCCATGAAAGCGGTACGTGAGCTGGGTTCAGAACGTCGTGAGACAGTTCGGTCCATATCCGGTGTAGGCGTTAGAGCATTGAGAGGAGTCTTCCATAGTACGAGAGGACCTGGAAGAACATACCTCTAGTATACCAGTTCTTGTGCCAACAGGAAACGCTGGGTAGCTATGTATGGAGAAGATAACCGCTGAAAGCATCTAAGTGGGAAGCTCACCTCAAGATGAGTGCTCTCTTTTCTAATTTAGAAATATCGGTCACGGCAAGACTAGCCGTTTGATAGGTATTAAGTGGAATACCAGTAATGGGTGTAGCTGAAATATACTAATAGACCGATCGATTTTGACCAGAAAATACAAAAATTTATTTTAAAATACCTAGTGTTCATGCTTGTGTGGAACCACCTT